TTTTGCTGGAAGAACTTGAAACTTCATCCTGTTCCCTGTTCCTGCACAGCCTCTGCCTTGCTGTCCTGCCCCCCAGGCTTTGCTGTCCTGTACTTGGCCCAGGGGTGGGGGGTCTCCTCTCCAGCCATAAATTTTAACCAMCGGTAGTAGTAGCCACGGAAACCATCGATCTTCTCCAGGTATGGATTTTTGCACTTATACTGCAAAGAGAAATCCAACAGAACATGTTTCTGTTACATGAGAGCTCACTCCAGTACCAGCCTGCAGGAGCTACAAGATGCAACCCAAGAAACAGCGATCCAGTAACCATCAGTCAAACCGGACAAACCCAAAGGACACTTAGGAAAATATTTATGATTCCCCTCCCTTGCTGGAGTCCTTTGTGATGCCTTCACTCCCCGACAGTCCTGGCTCCTTACCCTGTCAAATTTGGGAGGGTASCGTGCTGCAAACTCCAGCTGCCGGATGATGACTTCATTGGGAGGCACTTGGTTATTCCTCATGTCCCGCAGGATCTCYGTGAGGTAACTGTAATCCAGCTGCCTCACGGCTGCAGCAATGAGGGTGCTGTAGATGTACTTGTTGGGAGTTATTCCAGAYCTCTGCAAAGAACAAATGCTACAGTTAAACAAGTTTATCTGCTGACTAGTGCCAGATCTTGCAGAAGGAAAAGGCAGAATGGCACCTTCTACACAAGGAGCACAGCTCTCACCATGGGACCTGTGAAGCAGCTTTAGCWGTGCYARTAYAGGTGTAGGACAGACCACCTGTGCTCCAGCYACTCTGGAGATGGATGTTCTTGGAGACAGAACACAACCACTYGCCATAAAAACCTCAGCAGGTCTTTTAAAAGCATTAATACTTTACTTTGCCTCTTCCTGTAGCTCAGACCCCAAGCAGCAAAGGATTTTTCTTTGATTACCTTCAAATCCGAGAGCAGCTGCAGTCCATCCTGCTGTTTGTGGCAGGCAATTGCCAAGTTACAAAATGTCTGGAGGTTAGGTGACAGTCCCCTCTTCACCAGAGCTGGCAGCACGCTCTGCAAGATACAAGTGTTGGCATCACTTCCCAAAAAATCTCACCGTAGCTTTCCAGACAGGGAGCTCGGTGTGGCTAGAACAGAATCCATAAATACTTAGAAATTAACCCAAGCACCACTTTGGGGAAAACAGTTTGAAATCMCAGTTTCTATTTGTGGACAGGGAAATGGGTCTCAGCAAAAGAGAGGCCTGAGAAAAGGAGGTGGTGCCAGGACTGGTTCTGAGGCTTTTCTCTCACCTTTGCTCCCTCCAGGTCTCCCTGTTTACTTCTGTTCCTTATTAAAGTGTTAAAGAAGGTCGCATCCACTTTTACTTTATGATCATCCAGCAGTGCCAGCAAGGAGGACTCTGAGGGACTTTGGGGTTCCACGAGTTCAGCCAGTAATGTGAAYGTTTTAATATTGGGATCTGCATTGTCCTCTTTCATTTTGTTCAAGAATCCCTCCACATCCCCCATCAAAGCCAGTCTATGGGACGGTGTGGCCACTGTCCCCAAGGAAACCACAGCTGCATCAGGCATCCTGGAATCCAACAAGTTGGGAAGKTTGCAGAAAGGCAGCTTCTGGCTTGGGTGTGCCTGTTCCTGCTCCATCTCACTCTGGGCTCTCCTCATCAAGGCTCCAGCCCTGCTGTGAGTGACGCTGGGGCTCTCAGGAGCAGCAGGTTCTGCTTCAGCCCAAGTCACATCTTTGTTTTGTTGCTGGATCAGTTCCTCGGGCTGCACYGAACTCTCCTGAAATAACTGTTTTTCCATAGCTTCCACATTCAGCTGTACAGCAGCACTCTTTGATCCCTTCTTCCTCTGATTTTTCAYCTTCTGCCTCCCAGGTGGCAGCCGTAGCTGAGGTGAGTTCTCAGGGGGACTGAGCAGGAGTTTAGAGGCCACAGCGGGATCRCCGATCCCACAGTCTCTCGCCGCACGCAGCATCAGGTTGTAGGTGTGGCTGTCAGCCTTTATTCCCAGTTTATTCATTTGTTTCCAAACCTGAAGAGGGAAAGATGAATATTCAATAACAAGAGCATTCTATCAGCCTGTAAGCACATCTGTTACTGGGATCTGTGTAAGAAGGAGTGAATTTACAGCATGACAAGGACAGTGACTTTGAGCCCTGAGAGACGATCCAGAGCCATACCAGCCTATGAGAGTACTGAGCAAAGCCTAGTTTTCAGAATTTGTGCTAGAAGGAGCTGAAAGMATCACATTTCACCACCCTGCTGCCCTCCATATGTTCAAACAATGAGTTACAACAGAGCAGCACTTTCCCCCCTCTCTTAGAACACAAGGACAAACCTGCAAAGCAAATCGGAAGCCACTTTCACTGTCCTTTATGCAGCTCATGAGAAGGAAGCTGAAGGTCTCAGCCGTGAGGACATGGCCCTTCTGCACAATTTCCTAAAAGAGCAAAGAGAGCATTAAACTTTCCAGTTATCCAGCATGGTGAAGCTCAAAKACCWCTGTCATCYTCTGGGGTTAGATGTAACAAAGCACAGGGTGATCTCCAAGTGTTTGAGCAGAATGACTGCTCCAGAAGAGAGCCCTGAAACACTGCACAGATCCTGATGGAATCTGGGGGCAGGATCAGCAATCCTTTCAGCTATTCCCAGACTGGCCCTTCTGGGAAGAGCTGCTGTAAGAGCTCTCAAAGGAGACATGGTATCTGTGAACTGCACAAAAACTCTGGTAAAAGTATTGGACACAGCCAGCCTGTTTTAAAGCCAAAGCTGCCTCCTTTTAGGWAATTAAGCTTAGAGTTTGCTATGTACAATTTCACTATGACAATAAGGATCAATGAAATACAAACACATGATCTGTAATTAGCTCTGCTGGAAACTAAACTAAAACCCGATGCAAYGTGACAACTTCCAAGAGCCTTAACCACAGCACAGACCAGGTTCAACATGAGAAAATCAACCTATTTACCTTGAGTACATCCAAGCACATCCTGAGGTCTGAGCAGAGGGCACAGACCTTCAGCAGGGCGTGGTAGGTGATGAGGTTCAGCTCCTCGTTTTTGCTCTGCAGCTGCTGCCGCAGTTTCAGRGCGCTCTGCAGCCCCGAGTCCTTCCACGGAGACTCAGCACAGGCGTTGAAAAGGGCTGTGTAAGTGGCCTCCGTGGGGATTAACCCTCGTTTTTTCATCTAAAGGACAGAAGAAGGATTTGAATTGGCTGTTTGCAAAAAGATATCTTGAATTTTTTAACTTGTTTTYAAGAGTTTTGGGCTAAGAAGGTGCCAACACTAACTCAAAGTCATTTTGGAGACTAAGCAACATGGCTGAATGCTTGAAACAGTTTTAGCTTAGAAAATATTTGAGGGACAAGTTAAACCTACATCATTGTAGAGCCTGAATGCCTTTTTCACGTAGCCAACCCGGCCACAGCCTCCAATGAGAACGGTRTAATTGCTTTCTTCTGGCTGGAGACGCTCCTCCTTCAGCATCTGCACCTCAAACAGCTGCAGAGCCTCTGCCAGCTACAAGGATGAGAAAGATCCATCATGAAGCAGCAAAGAATCAACTACAATGGATATGCAAATATGGGCAAATTGTAGTGCAAGTCCTAAGGTGTGTGGGGTTTCTCACAAGAAGAGTGGAGAGCGACTTTGGACAGGGGCATGTAGTAACAGGACATGGGGGATGGCTTTAAACTGAAAGAAGGAAGAATTAGGTTAGAAATTGGGAAGAAATCTTTTACTGTGAGGGAAGTGAGGCATTAGCACAGGTTGCCCAGAGAAGCTGCAGCTGCCCCATCCCTGGGAGTGTCCAAGGCCAGGTTGGACGAGGCTTGGAACAACCTGGGATAGTGGAAGGTGTCCCTACCCATGGCAGGGGATAGAACTGGATGAGCTTTAAGGTCCCTTCCAAAGCAAACTGCTCTATTACGATTCTACAAGAAATTATTGTTTTAATTCTTTCGGTAAAGATATGAAGTGATAGAGACTGGTCAGAGCTGCATCTTTCATCAGTGYTAGTAAAAACAAGAGAAGAGCTGGGCTCAAACCTTGTCCTCTTTGATGAGGGCCTTGCACCGTAGGAAGTACCAGTACGGAGTGTTCTTAGGTCCACGTCGAGGTTTTCTTTCTGGTTCTTCCTCTCCTTCTTCTTGAAGCTTTAAATCCCGAAAGCGCGCTGAGGTTTTGTGGTAATACTTTCTAGAGGAAAATTTATCAGACAGCGTCCCGAACTCCACGCCTTCATCATCATCATCATCAYCATCTTTCTCCTCCTCGGCRGCTCCAGTGGAGCTGGCAGCACTGATCTCCCTCGGGTCGCTGCCGGGCAGTTTGCAGGAGGCCTGGGAGGAGCTGCACGCTCTCCAGCCCGGCAGCGGGCCCTGGCCTGGGGACCGGGGCAGGAGCGGCGCCCGCCCGGATCCAACCCCGGGAGCTGCGCACCGCGCCCGCAGCAGAGCGGGGGAGGAGTAGCGGCACCAGCGGGGGAYGAGGAGCCGCAGGGAGCCCATGATGTGCCCGCTGTCCCCGGAAGCGAGCGGGGCCGGAGCGGGATCAGGAGCGGGAACAGGAGCGGGCGCGGCGCAGGGACCGGGAGCGGGATCGGAACGCGAAACGGACCCGCCCCCGCACCGTCCCCTCGCCCCGCCCCGCCCCACTGCGCCTGCGCGCACGGAAGGGGCGCGTCCCCGCTCGAGTC